TGGCTGTAGTACAAAATAGTTTTTTGTTGTTTTACTTAATGAAACAATTCATTGGAATCAAACTGCTTTTGAAGCCGGTATCTTTAGCTGTGGCTTGTTTAATGCCACAAATTTCAGCTGGTTTTTCTTGGAAATAAATTCTAATGATATCGATATTTATTTCATTCTGAATACATATTGTAAGGGATTGCCGACTAAGAGAGACAGAAATAATGACTTAGAGAATTAGATGTTGGTTTTCATATTAAAATGTACACCATATTATCAGTTTGAGCAGCCATGGTTAAAAAAGCTATTTAAAAATCTAGAAAGATAGTGATGTCTGCTTAGATAATATGGAACAGCAGTTACAATATTGAAACTCTTATTTGTCTCCTTACACAGAAGAGTATATAGAAAAAAATATACATCTACTCAAGTCTTTTCCCTTCCTTTGTCTGTATCATTTAAGACACTTGTTTGGAAACAATTTATCTGAAGAATGAGTTAATCTATTTCTGCTGCCTAGCTTCTCCACCTAAATTTCTTTATCATAACTGGTTGCCAAGGAAATATTATGCCACAGAGAATTTTATCTTTGGAAATGCAGTGAGATGCAGGAACAGCTGTCCTCTCAAAGCTGAAGATCATCTGCATTAGGGTGAGAAGAGGTGACACATTTTACAGTTTCCTCTGCATCAAATGCCATCATGCTTCAAGCCCACTGTGCTTCTCAAAATAGTTGTTTTTTCATTTCATAATTTTGTGAGCAAAGATTCCATGTGCTGCAGTCAGCCTGTCCATTCTTTTTCCACCACTGTGATTTGGGATAAATGAGAGAGAAAGAAAGAGAGAGAGAAGTAGCACTGTGGAACAGGAGTAAGAAAATGACTGTTTGTATAGGGGAATGCAGTGTATTAGTTTTCTTGATGACCGTCATACTGGTTATAATAGCTGACAGACGGATGGATGGATAGTATTTCTATTGCACTGTTAAGCAGACAGGTTCTTTTAATGATTTTATGTTCTCCAGTGACTTCCAGTGAAAGACTAGGAAAGTATACCAGGTACTTCAATAAATAAATAACATCCATCAAGCCAACTTCAGACTAGCTCCATTTCTTTCCTTGATTTTAGCCAATAAAATGAAATTTATTTATTTGTTAGGTTTATACCCCACCTTTCCTCCAAGAGCTCAAGGTGGCATACATAGCACTCTCTCCTCCAGCATTTCCTCACAACAACCCTGTGAGATAAGCTGGGCTGCAAGTCAGCGACTGACCCAAAGTCACACTATGAGCTTCTGTGGCTGAGGGTGGACTTGAAGCTGGGTCTCCTGGTCCTAGTCCTCTGTATCACACTGGCTCTGGATTATGGTAGGTTCTTAAGAGGAGCTGGTTAAACAATGAACAAATTCATTCCTATATAGTCTGATACCTTTATGTGCAGCCTTAATGAACATTTCAGTTCATCAAGTCTGTTCATTTCAATTCCTACTTGGTGTATGGCCATTCCACCTTAGAAAGCAACCCTCAGTGCCCAAGCAGTGACTTAAGGCAGTCTTACCCATCCTGGTGCTCTTCACATATGTTAGATCACAAGTCCATAATCTATAACAAACCATGTTGTCAGTGGTTTTGTTCTATGAAAATCACATGGCTGTAGTTTCCACCCTCCCCTGAGGTTGAAGAAGGCTGAGCTTAGAAGTTTCTTCTTTGGGATGGCTATTAGCACAAAGCAAGTATCTCTCTTATGCCTGTGGCCATTTCTACATAGAAAAATGTCTTATGATTGGAATTACTAAGCTAACAGAAGGTGCCTTTGAGAGTTGTCATGCTGCTATTCAGTTCATTTTAAAGTCCAGGTACCTTCTTTTTCAGGAATAGATAAGGCAGAATAAGCCATTATTACTGAAAAATGATTTGGTTTTTGTCAAGACAAATAATGAGGGAATTTGGGAATAATCATTCTAGAAAAACTTGCAGGGCCTAAAAATAGTGATACCTCAGCATGAAGTAGGAAGCCAGTAACAAGGTTTGCCTTTCTGTTTCTCTGCTGTAGGCATCTCCAGAAATTAGAGATTTATTTAGGCCATTTGTTGATATTATCTATGCCTTCTTTATCCCCATGACTGTGAGATATGCCTCCCTCAGAATCTACAGTACATCTTTTAATCTGTTTTTTTTTTTTTTTCAAATTTTCATTATCAGATGCCACTCACAGGAACAATTTTATATTCAGCTTCTTAATCTCAGCATTTTAGTTTCCTGGGCACAGAGTGGATTGTGGCGGTAATAGGAGTTCATTTTGATTTTTGGATATCTGAATGCAAATTTATACTGGCATTCCTTCCATAGGATGCTGAATCCTCAGTATTTGAAGAGTTATTTTTCTACCATGTGAGGCTGCCCAAATCTTCCGAACTCTCCTCTCTGTCTTTCTACCATCTGATCTTCCATGGCTTATAATATAGGATAGGACTGTTTCATTTGTGGTGCCCCATATATGGAATATCCTCTCAAGAGAAACTGAGAGTGCCAACATCAGTTATTTTTTGCTCAGATCTCAAGGCTTCTTTGATTTGCCTGGATTTGAATAGATGGCTTTTTAATTTTGGGATATCGGTCTATGAGATTTTTCTGAGGTGTACAATTTTGCTTTTTCTCCTCTCTTTTAATATCAGATTTGTACATAATTTAAGTTAACCCAATTTAAGTACCCTAACAGTACAGAAGTTTTGCTATGCATGGTGCCATAAAAATCTTGCGTTGAAGGGCATATATTATATATCTTCAAAAGCTGTTAAAATCAAGTGGTAACATTTGGAACCTGAAGCCACTATTGTTCAAACATTATTATTTGCTTGAAGTGGGTCCCTAGCCCTTAGTTTGTTTTACATGTAGTTTACATGCAAACTGAGGAGATAATCAGGAACAGAAAATTACATTTAAAAAGCCTTTCATGAAAATTGACATTGTACTTATGTATTGCATGTGCTGCATATTCCTATAAAATAAAATTGTTCCTTTCAAATATCCTTGATTCTCATGGTCATTTTTCAACCTGACAGTTGAATTTCCTCTTCTGAATTTAACTATATTTGTTTCCAGTGATAGGGCTCATCATAATGGGTACAAACTGCAGCTACCTAAATTTTGTTTCAATATAAGGAAAATGTTCTGACAGTAAGATCTGTAGAACAGTGAAACAGTCTGTCTAGGCAGTTTGTTAAAAATCGCTACCTCTGGAGGTTTTAAAGAAGAGGCTGAACAACCACTCTTGAGGGTTGGGCTTCATGATCCTTGCAGTCCCTTCCAACTCCACAATCTATGATTCTATCAATTTTGAGATGAAACATTGCGTTTTGAGTAAAATGATGCTCTTTTTGTGTGTTGCAGTGTAAGACATGCTCAGAGCCAAAACAGATGACCAGCTCTTCTGCTTTATACCACAACCCCAACTTGATCAAACCAATCCCTCTAAAGCCCAGGGAAAATCAGCAAGTCCAGGTTTGTGGGCAATTTGTACTTGTCATTAACTTTCATTAACTGTCCTATTCATGTCAACTGATGAACTCCTTCAGTTCAGGGGAGGTTGTTTTAATATAGGTATATATAGGATCACCTGTGGGAGATTTGGACACATCTTCAGCTTTATTGATAAAATAAAACCAGTGGCAGGTTTGGAGGCTGATTCAGTGAGGATTTTAAAAAGTTTCTGCTACTCAGTAGTTGTCAGGGGGGCAACAGATCTTACATCCTTGCTGGAAAGGATTGCGATGTGACGACAGGAAAAATATAGGCTGCTAGCTATCCTTGTATGAGGGTGTGCCCAGGGATTGGGCCTACTGACACTAGAAAAATATGTGACCTAGCTACCCTGTGTAATGAAAATCTAGCCATGGCTAGATCAAAGTAGGTCAATATAAGTAGGGGATATCTCCAACCCCCTACATGCCATTTCCCCCTGCAGCTGTCTTTACCAACCATATTCCCCTATCCAAGGTTCCGGTGAGGGTTTTGTTTCTATTTTTTGCTGTTGATGCAGCTAGCCAAGTCAAATTTGGTCTCAATTATTCTTCCTTCCTTGCAGAACATAGATTCTGAGCCTCAACACCTATCCCTAATGACCCTCTTTGGAAAGCAGGAAAAATCAAGCTTATACCAAAATGCCTCAGAGCCATCTCAGAAACTCCACCAAGACACTTTCCCTCCGAGGCAGGGAGTTGTGCGCTCTTTGTCTTACGAGGAACCTGGAAGACACTCACCCCCAGCAGAAAAACAGCTCTGCCCAGCTATTCAAAAACTGATGGTGCGTGGGGCAGAGCTTCACCCAGTCTCTGAGCTCCCGGAGAACCGCCTCTGCGAGAATGGCAGCCACCCTTCTGCGGGAGAAGCTTTCGCTGGGCTCTTCCAGCCCGTGGCTTCACCGAGTATTAGGACCTCTCACCCAGCCCAGAACACAGCCAGCACACGGAGCCTGCTCCAGCAGTTGCAGAGCCAGTCGGAACAGACAGCTAAAGTGGAAGCCAACAGCATAGGACTAGCAAATTCAGCTGCACCAGTCTTCAGCAGGACTCCAGCCATCTCCTCAGTGGCCCAGGTAAAGAGCCTAATACAGCCACCCATGATGTACTTCAATGGTTCCCTCCCAGGCCAAACGTTGGGAGCTCAAGCTCTTGGTAAAGAACAATCCAAACTTCCTGGGCAGCCACTTCCTCTCTCTGGGAACCAGTCTGGAAATTCTGGTGTAATTTCACCTCAGGAGCTGTTGAAGAAATTGCAGATAGTGCAACAGGAGCAACAGCTGCATGTAGCCAGTCGGCCAACCTTGGCAGCTAAATTTCCTGTAGTTACGCAGGCCACCACCACCACTCTGAAACCTTTGGATTCTTGGATGAACAAGGCTTCAGCTACAGAAAAGCAGCCCCCTCTTCTTCAGGTAATTCAGTGATAAATGTGATAGCATCTAAGATCTGAGATTCTTCGTCAATAGGTGGTTTGTTCTCCTTTTACCGTTCAAAACAGACGTAGATCTTTTCCGGCATCAGGGACAACACACTAACCCTCTAAACACATTAGTGCTTTGCAAACTCTCCTGCTCAGCTCATCTAAGCAAGCGCTTAGGGTAAGCCTTAGAGACTTTCCAAGCACTCACAAGAAGGATTTGAAAATCCCAGGTGTGCATGTGGGAGATTTTTTTTTTCCCACAGATGAGATTTCTTTAGGAAAAAATATAATTTTGTGTTGTCTTTGAATAACAGCATTGGATAACTTACAGATAATCCTTGACTTACAACCACAATAGGGACCTTCATCATTAAGTGGTGTGGTCATTAAGTGAGGCATCACGTGACTGCACCCAATTTTATGGCCTTTTTGCCATGGTCATTAAGTGAGTCACTGCAGTCGTTAAGTGAGATATGTGACCACAACTTGCGACCTTCTCTGCTGGCTTCTCCACTGACTTTGCTTGTTGGAAACCAGCTGGGAAGGTCACAAATGGTGATCATGTGACCATAGGACACTGCAGTCATTGTAAAAGCGCAATAGTTACCAAGAGCCCAAATGGCAATCACATGACCACGAGAACCAGTCATAAGTCACTTTTTCAGCGCCATCATAACTTTGAACGGTCATTAAATGAATGGTCGTAAGTCAAGGACTACCTGTAATTGGTTTATAAATGGTCATTTCAGATGTTCTAAGGCATGCATTGCTTTTGCCAAAGTGTTATTTGCATGAATCTTACAATCATAGAAATATAGAGTTAGAAGGGACCTTACGGGTTCATCTAGTCCACTGTTTCCAGTTATGACAATTTCCAGGTGTGTGGACTTCAAATCACAGAATTCCACTGCCAAGGGTGGGAAACACTGATCCATTTGAATCCTCTGCTCACTGCAGGAACCAATGCCTATCCAGCCTCTGCTTGAAGACCTCTACTGGAGAATTCACCATTTTATATGGCAACCTATTTCACTGGCCAACAGTCAGGAAGTTCCTCCTGATGTCTAGTCTGATCCTCTTCCCTTGCAATTTTCACCCTTGGTTCTGGTTATGCCTTCTGGGGCAGTAGAAAACAAGTCTACTTTTTCTGCGTGACTGTTCTTCAGATATTTGAAGGCTGGTATCACATCTCCCCTTACATGTATTTTCTGTAGACTAAACATATCCAGATCTTTTAACCATTCCTGAAAGGGCTTGGTTTCGAGACCTTTCACCATCTTGGTAACCTTCCTCTGAACTTGCTCCAATTTGTCACTGTTCTTGTTGAACTTTTCAAAAGACATTTTGAAATGATAATAAGATCCCCTTCTGCCCTTCCTGCTTCCATCAATACTAAATGGTTTAAAACTTCTCAGAACGTTCACACCTGAATAATGGGCTTTGTGTTCTTAGGAGAAATTGGCCTTTGATTTCTTCTTTTTCTTATTACCTGCCATTTGTCAGCCCCACCCTAGCAAGTAACAACCAAGCATATCTTTAAAAGTAAAATTGGGAAAAGACCTTATCCTTAAGCTTTGCAACTTGAAGTAATATAAAGTGTGAAAGCACAAGTGATGTGAAAAACAACAATTGAGCAGATGACTCATTTTCTGTTTAAGGAATTTTAAAAGGATGCTTATGACATTTTCATTGGAATTAAATGGGGAAAAAGACACTTCAAGACAGAATGTATAATCACTCAGTGCCATGTAATTTTTAATAAGCTTTCTGATGTTATTTATTGTATAGATCAGTGTTTCTCAACCTCGGCAACTTTAAGATGTATGGACTTCAACTCCAAGAAGCCCATACATCTTAAGTTGCTGAGGTTGAGAAACACTGGTATAGATCATAAAAAGTACACCTAGATAGAAATAGTGGACTCTTTTATTCCATAACCAGGACTGTGTTGGCGAGGAGGAGGTCTTTATGGTTCTGGGATCCCTTGCAGGGGGCATTTGCCATGATGCAGTGTTCCCAATCTGTGAAAGTTGAGTTGCCCAGGAGCAGGGGACAGACTATCCTAAGCATAACAGGGTCTCCAATTGCAGTGCTTAACATTTTTCTATAGATGATAGCAGGAGCGATTTACTTACCCAGGAGAAAGTAAAGGGATATTCTAGGGACACCGTGATAGGCTACGTCTGCTCCTGATGATATCATTTTCTGTCAGAACCAGGTTTTGCTACTTGTGACCAGTTTACTTTGCTCCACAGAACAAAATCACCTTTTCTTCCATAGCTTGCCCTCCAGAATCTTTTCATGTGCAAAAAAGGCAGCTTGGTCTTTGCCAGGACCCCTGAAAAACTGTGCTTCCTGGTGCTTCAACAAGCATTGCTGAACACACTGGTGAAATTACTCTCTCACTACTAAGATTCCCAGGACTTGATTTTCCAGGTCATCAGTAAGATTAGCTCCCTATTGTAACTTTCTGTCACCTTCTACATTTATCAACCATCGAGCCCAAAAATCATGTCAGGGCATAAGGAGATCTTGGAAATTATATTTTCCAGAGAACTTAATGCTGTAATTCTGCTACCTCATGAAATCTAATGCTATTGTGTATAGAAAGAGCTAGTGCAGAATCCCAAGTTTATTGTAAAGTAACATTTTGACTTGGCTCGTAACTAACAAAAAGTTACATAGAAGGATGTTCATATGTCAAATTCCTAATTTCAAATATTTTATGGCCATCATGCAGCAAGGTATACAACCTATTGAAGACAACAGGTTGAATATTATTGTTATTCTGTGTCATAGTGCTCTGCCTTGCAGATAGACTGTTTTGTCACCCTGGCTAAGGACAAACATTTCCATCAAATAATGTTGGCAGACTCATGTTTACAGATGTGCAGGCAAATCAGAGCAGACCCTTGATAATAAACACACCCCCAAAATCTGTTCCCTAGAATTGTTTATCTTCTGGAATTGCATCTGTTCCCACTGCCTTTCAGAGGACAGTGGACCAAATTTTACAAGGTCTGTCTGGTGTTGCCTGTTGCCTAGACAACCTCTTGAATATTGAACTGAACAAACATGTATTTAAAGAACTCATCATGATTTCCTTCAGTAACTAGAGTCTGTTTGTACTTCCTTACCAGTAAGCACCTCATAAGTCTTGTTTCAAATTGGCTTGTATTGCATCTCCATATGGCTTAAAAACTATAATCTGTAGAATGAGGCTCAGCAGAGTAGAAATACATGTTCCTGAAGCAATTAGCAAAAACAGGACATAATTGGATTTGAATTTATCCAGAAAATAGACACATCTGATCAAATTTAAATCAGATACATAGAGATTGTATGGCAAAAAAAAGTAATGACTAAAAAAAATTCTACTTAAAATTGTTTAAATGGAGTCAGTTGGGTCTTTGGTCAATAGAGCCATTAAAGGTGTATTCAAGTTACACCGAGAAACTCAGTTTTTTGCTTATGTTTTCATCGTGAAGGATGAATACCATGTGCCTGAACTGGCTCTTTGCAGTAAGGAAGCCTGAAAAAGTGAAGCAGATGGTGATGAGGAGCTGAAGTTATGGGGATTATTGACAAATTAAAAGTAAGCAACTCAGTGGATCCAGATGGCATCCACCTAAACATTCTTAAAGAATTCATATGGGAAATTGTTTATGCTATTTTAGCTATTTCAGATGTGAAATTGCTAAAAACACGCATATTGACACAGCGTCCGAGGGACTGGAAAGTGGTCAATTTTTAAAAAGGGTTCAAAAATTACAGGCCAATTAGCTGACCACATGCTATGAGTAGATGTATGGGAAGTAAAGAAAATTACCCTGAAGCATGAAGAAAACTAACAACTATAATGTGAAATCTTATTGTGCTTATTTTTTTAATATTGGAAAGAAGGCAAGCAAGCAGGTTCAGGGCCAGAGTACATAAAATCATCCATTGACCATATAAAGGGCCAATTTGGTGTAGTGGTGAAGCCACCAGGCTAGAAACCTGGAGACTGTGAGTTCTAGCCCTGCCTTAGGCATAAAGCCAGCTGGGTGACCTTGGGCCAGTCACTCTCTCTCAGCCCTAGGAA